TGCTAGAATAAAAGTAAGAATTTTTTTAAGACTTTACTTTTAAGTTTTATGATCTGCTTTAAAGTTACTTAGCCAGAAGTAAGATGTTACATGCATAAGTGTTTTTATTAATGATATCCTGTTATGTCTGCGTGTAACCTGTTTTGGTGGATTGACCCTGGCTGGACCCCAGGTGCCAAAATCACTGTATCACTCCCCTCTTCAGCTGGACAGGGCAGAGAAAATGCAATGAAAGACTCGTAAATTGGGGTAAGGACAGGGAGAGATCTCTCAGCAATTATCGTCATTAGGGGTAAAAGAGACAACTCAGTGAAATTATTTTAATTTCTTACCAATGCAATCAGAGTGGGGTAATGACAAACTAAATTTTAAAAACACCTCTCCCCACCCCTCCTTACTTCTCAGGATTAACTTAAGAATTCTTTACCTCCTTTCCCCAAGCAGCAAAGGGAGAGAGGAAATGGGAGCTGCAGTCAGTTCATCACATATTATCTCTGCTACTCCTTCCTCCTTGGGGAAAGGACTCCTCACATTCTTCCCATGCTCCAACATGGGGTGCCTCCCACGGGAGACACAAAGTCTACACAGAGTCCAATATGAACTTCTCCAACTTGAGTCTTTCCCAGAGGCAGCAGTTCTTGACTAATTGCTCCACCCTTTCTAGTGGATGCCATCCTTCAGGAGCAGACGGCTCCAATTGAGTTCCCATAGTATCACAAATCTTGTCAGCAAACCTGCTCCAGTGTGGTCTCCTCTCTCCAGAGGGCCACATGTCCTGCCTGGACACTGCTCCAGTGTGGGCTTCCCTGGGAAGTCACAGCCTCCCTTAGGCATCCCACCTGCTCCAGCATGGGGTCCTCCATGGGCTGGAGGTAGATCTCTGGTCCATTATGGACCTCAGTGGGCTGCAGTGGACAGCCATAGACCGCAGGGGAAACTCTTCTCTTCCTGCCCCTCCTTCTACCTGCCCCTCCTTCTACTGACCTTGGTGTCTGCAGGGCTTTTTTTCCTCTCATATTCTCACTCCTCTCTCTGAGTGCAATCACTGTTGTGCAGGGTGCACTTTTTCCTCCTTAACTACATTTATCCCAGAGGGGCTACCAGCATTACTGATGGACTCGGCCTTGGTCAGCTTTGTTTCCATCCTGGAGGTGGCTGGTATTGGCTCTGTCAGACATGGGTGAAGTTTCTGGCAGCTTCCCAAAGAAGCCATTCCTGTACCCTCCCCTCACCCCCCCCCCCCCATATAAACCTTGTGAAAGGAAAGCTTTGCTATTTTTCCTTGTTTAGTATGTACTAGCACTTGGAAGAAAATAAGATAAATATGTTATCCTTTTTTTTGCATTTTTAATTTTACAGAGAAATTCTAGAAAATATTTAGCTTGGGTTTTTTTCCTAGTATGTGTATCAGACAGAACTCAGCTGTTTTCATAGACAGACTAGTCTGTGTAAGACTCAGGAATTGAGATTTTGGTGGGTTTGTCTAACTATTTTATCATTTCTGTAACTAACTATATCTACACAGGTTTACTTTTGTGTTATATTTTTGGGCTTCACTTATGCTGCCGGAGAGATGGGATTTAAAATCACAACTTTTTTTTTTTTTTTCCCATTTTCTTCTTCTTCGTATCTTGAAGGTACCTTCTGTGTCAAATTGTCTTCTATGTGTTTTCATTATCTAAGGAAGCATGACTTGGTTGAGGTACAGTAAGAGATGACCTCCTATCCTTATACTTTCAAAAGCGTTGTGGTGCTTATTCTTTCACTTGTATGAAATTGTGTGGAATAATATGAAATAGTAAAATTAAAAATCAGTTTCATCAACAGACAACTGGCATAGATTTCCAGTTTTATGTGTTTTTTGAGAGCACTTGAGGAAGCCCAGTTTCAAAAGGTAATAATTTTTGTACTTCATACCCCTCTCAATTTTCCAATTCCATTAATAGGAATGTTCCCATTTATTGCCATTTGTACTTCAAGTGCTTTATTGTTTTTGGCTTTAATAGTAATGTAATTTAATTTCTTGTATCTGCTAAGGAAATTGCATCAATACAGTAAATATTCTATGTTTTGAAAAAGACTTGCTCTAACTTTTTCCTCTGAGACAAATTATTTAATCTTCTTCATTGGCTCAGTAATCCTAAAAAAGATCTAGTCTCTTCCTTTGTGACCCCAAAGGGATGAGTCTTGACATTTAAAAATTCAGAAATTGGCTTTCATGTTCTCTTAGTGCTTCTCTATGGATCTTGGAAAAAGCAGGTAAGGCATGCTGCCAAAATTCCAATGTACACCAAGTGAAGGGACACTTATCCCACCCTAAACAGGGGTGCAACAACACAGTTTACAGCTAAAGCCATGCTTGAAAACATATGTTCTATATTTTTTATGCTATCTGTAGTCTTTTCTATATTTTCTCAATACAATTTCCTTACTAAAATAATGACCAGAGTCTCATTCTCTTGATGAATATATGAATGTTCTTAGTATGAACTAAGAATCGTTTACATACACAGAGACTTCTAGGAAGACAATTCAGTTCCCTAAGCGGAGGACAAGTGTTAGCAAGCTTGCTTTTGGCAATGTCTGTTCCACAATTATTACAGTGACCAAAAGCAAGGTCAGTGGTCTAATGAGACTGAAAAGGAAGAATATATTTGAAATTCTATTCTACTTTTTTTTTTTCAATAAACATTTACAATTGCCTTTTTAATATAGCACCAAAGGTGTGACAGGTTCCTGCCTAGCTTTCCCTAATAGTATCTCAGAGTAATTTCCCTTGTAATTCCCTAGATTCATGAAGAGTTGCAATTCAGAAGCTTATTTAGTACTAAAAGCTTTTGAGTTTGTTGAGTTTTGATTATTTTTTTTAAATTTGATTCTCTCATCAAAGTTTATTTCAGTTTTTATCAAAGTTTAGAAAACTCAGTATTGCATGGTTTGGTATATGCAATTTCACATGGTACCTTCCCAAACTGACAGTATAATTTTTTAATTAAAAAATCTGAATGCATCTTTTACAATGGTAAAAAATCAAGATTCCTCCAAGAATTGGTGATGACTACAGAATGTAACAAAATAGAAGATGATTTTTGGTTCACAGAATCACAGAATATGCTGAGTTGGAAGGGACCCACAAGGATCATGGAGTCCAGCCCTTAGCCCTACACAGGACCATCCCCAAGAGTCACACCATGTGCCTGAGAGTATCATCCAGATGCCTCTTGAGCTCTGTCAGGCTTGGTGCTGCGACCACTTCCTTGGGGAGCCTGTTCCAGGCCAACTACCCTCTGCATTCAGAGATTGCAGTAAATGAAAAATGGTGGAAATTGAATGTCATGAATGGGTTTAAATGTGGATAGTTACAAGGGAATAACATAATGTCTAAGTTATGATGTGTATATGATTTGATTTTTCAAATGTGAAGAGATTTCCTTCAGCAGGGATAATGGAATATAGCCAGATAATATTCTAGGGGGAGATGAGATCTATGTAGTTGCTAAAGAATCCATGGGAGAGGCATAAAGCATCTGTTGCCTTATTTTAATTTTTGGATTTGGGTTTTTTTGGATTGAGGGCCTTTTTGTTTTTTGTTTCTTTTTAATTTGATACAGACTTGTGGTTTGGTTCTGTTATGGGGTTTTGGTTGGGTTATTTTTGGTTTAGTTTGAGGTTGTTTTGTGTGGAGTCATTTTTTGCTTTGGCTTTCAGGGGATTTTTGCTTTGGTTTGGGGTTTTTGGTTTTTGGGGTATTTTTAATGTATATGTCTAGGTGGTTTGGGGTTAGTTTTTTGTTTTGTTTTGTTTTGTTTTACCTATTTTGCTGAATGCCTTTTGTCTCCTGGCAGTGGAATAGGTTTTATGAGTCACAGGAGTCACATACTGTCCATGTAATTCATGAAAGTGGGAGGATTTGCTTATTCATTTCCTGAAAATAAATTTAAAAAAAAAAATTCAAAAGTCCTAGTATTACATAAGAGAGGAGTCGTGTAGCTATAGCTACTATTCATGGTGAAAAGGCTACCTGCTATATTGCTGCTAAAAGTGTTGGGATGTTAGTACAGAGGTAGTGATATGTCCCTTAAAGCTACAAGAACGGAAATCTGGCTTCTCAACCTGAGACTGTGATATAGGAGTTGTGAGTATTCTGTATACTATGAGGGCTTTTTTTTTTTTTTTTTTAAATGAGAAATATTTAGCTTTTCAGAGCTATGGCAAATCATTTCAGCTGAGTCTATATCAGTTTTATGTCTTGATGACCTGCTGTTTTGGTGGCCTGTGATATCAGTCTTGGGACAGTGGTGTCATATCAGTTGTCATGTCAGTTACAAAAAAATGGTGGAGTTTGTATTCTGGAAAGAAAGATTCCTTCCCTTCTATTTTAATATGTAGCTGTGCAAAATGAGCTTTTCAATGTCCAAATTTTTTCAAGTTCCCTCCCCATGGTCTTTTCATATCTCTCATAATCTAGAGTTTTTCATAATAATGTCCAACAGACATTATTGGGAATAACACTCTACCTAACACTCTACCTTACACTCAACCCTGGCTAATTGCTGAGTTAATTATTAAAATGCATGTATTTGCAGGACTATATGTCATTTAGGTGACTAAAAGCTTGGTCTTATTATAAGATATTGAAAACTCAGGAGGTATACTAAGAGCAAGTAGTGGTATGAGAATCTACTCAGTTTGGTTGGGTACTAACACTTCTGCTTAATTAGTGTGATTCAAATAACTAATTTAATTTTATACTTAATATTTGGGGGAGTGGGGTCACAGTCTTCAGCTTAGAAGGGGGGGGCAAATAAAAATGAACTATGTAATGCTTAGTGAAAAACAGTATGTCAGACAGTTTTATTTTCTATAAATTACTTATACTTAAAAGAAAAATGTGGTTTTAGTTTTGATAATGCCTGACCAATGAGAATCTTTTTCAAGTTACTGTGGAGTGGCCTTAATGCTGTAAATAATCCAATTGGCCAAGTCCCAGTACAGTGCAGATGAGAAAAGGATGCAGGAAATTCTGTTGTTTACACATGTGTCTGTAACACCGAGAAGCAAGAGGAGCCCAGAAAACTCAGAGGGTAAGGGGTCTTAAGCTTGTGGGTTTAATGTTTAGTTTCTATATTTCTCTTCAGGGACAAAGCATCAGTTACTATCATGCTGATGGTAAGGAGGAAAATAATCTGAAATACTCAGCAAAAGTACTGAAGATCAGAAAACAGTATTGGAAGTATGTGGCTTAGTTATATCTAGATAGATTTTTCTCTTCTGTCTTTTTGGCTACTATTGGGTAGTATTAGTTCTGACACCCCATTAAATATATCTTGTTCTTCGACTTTGGCAGGATCCTTACTTAACCAGGTAAATTGATAAAATTTTCAAATTTATTTCTTATTTTTGAATTAGAAACTAGTATAAATGCAGAAATTTCAAGGAATACACTGCTTTAATACTAAAACAGTTTTTAAAAAATTACTTTGTGAAATGCATCTGCAATAACATAAACTGATAAATCTTTGTTACCTTGTAATGAGTATCAGTATTATGGATATAAGTGTAGTGAGAATACTGTTGTGAGTTTTCAGAAGTTCATACTGCATTTTTTTTATTTAGAAAGCACTATTTGCACAGTATTTCTGTTTTCTTAAGTTGTGCAGTTCAATGAGTTATATAATCCTAACTTCCTTCACAAAATATCTGAAAATGGGAAAAGAAAAAAGTGTGTTCTTAGCTATATGATATTATTCTAATGCAATGAAACATGTTTATTCATACTCTGATTTGTTGATGTTGGACAGAGATATTTAGTTTGTCATTATTTCAAAGGCAAGTGTCGGCGATGGTATGAGACTATGGATGATCCATCATCAGTGAGAACCAAGGGTCAAATTCCAAAAATAATGTTGATGAGTTTAGTAAGTATATGTAACAAATAGTACTAATAGGCTTCCTACTGGTTGTGCAGTTACTTGCATCTTGTTTGTCATAGTTCTCACCGATTCTTCATTTTATGAAGCAGACTCTGTTATAAATGGTCCTATTGCTAGAATCCTAGCTTTGCTTTAGACTACCTATGCTAGAAAAAAAACTACTTTTGAGTTCCTGAATGCAGTTCTTTGAGTAATAAAATGAAGATAGATGGATTTCCAGAATATGTTAGGCATCATTTATAGAACTAGTCATATCACTTCCAGAGACCTCTACAAAAAATTAGTGGTAAATGTGAAATTAGGTGTCTGTCTTTTTTTTATGTATTTTTATGTAGAAATTTTGAATTGAGGCCACTCTTTCACCTTAAATATAAAGTACTAATATTAATCTTAGGTAGATCTGCAAAATAAATCGCTTGAAAATGAATGTTCTAAAGCAGCTGGTAATGAACAGGCTTAAAACACTGTCATTGATTTCAACATCAAGATGGGTAGATCTTGGTATTGTTTAAAGTGTATCAGTTTGATATTCATGGAATCATAGATTCATAGAATGGTTTGGGTTGGAAGATCATCTAGTTCCAACCTCCCTGACACAGGGAGAGACTATTCCCAGTAGATGGAGCTGCTCAGGGCCCCATCCAACCTGGCCTTGAACATTTCCAGGAATGGAGAATCCACAGCTTCTCAGGGCAAGCTCTTCCAGTGCCTCATCACCCTCACAATAAAGAATTTTTTTTTTATATATTCTACTAGCTGACTCTTCTGTGAGTTGAAGGTACAAGCGTTAACCACAATAACAATTCCATATTGATAGCCTTTATTCCATTAGAATCTGCTAAATTTAACAAAATAGAAAGATAAATTTTTCTTTTCCAAATAGTTTTTCAGAATATCAGGCAAATCTACTTCCACTTTTATTAAACAAGTTTTATTTTAAGCTTTTCCTGTACATATAGTTAACAAGAACATATGGACATTTAGGGTAGCATGCTATCAGGAAAAACTTCTAGTGCAAATATAGATTTTTGTCGTTCATAAAATGTTTTTACAATGAAGTTTGTATTATTTTTATTTAAATACCACTTTCTTCTTGTATTCCTGTAAACTCTCGGTGTTCATCCTCTTTAATAATTTTCTCTTCACTAGCTTCCTTGTTCTTACTCTTCCCTTCTTTATCCACTTTGAATCTTCCACTCCCCTTAACTCAGTGAGTTACAGTGCTAATTGAAAACTGAACATTAATCTCACAATTTTGTGAGGGCTTCTTTAATGTCAAAGATTTTCCTGCATCCCCAAACAAAGAGATATTTATTGCAGTTACAATTATGTTTGCTAAGTTTTCTATATGACTAAAAAAATAGGCAAATTAGCTTCTAAATAACTTTTACTGTAATTAATAATCCATTTCATTTGTAGATACCCTTATTTGGCTTTTTTTTTGTGCATAGTTAAAAACCCCATTTTCCTTCCCCTGTGTATTTTAATGAGGTATTAATAGAATTGTGCAACAAAGGTTTACTTTTTATTTAATTTGGATGACATACAGGTGTATCAATACATAGGGACTATATTGGTATTAATTTCCTATTAAAGCTGCTAGAAAACATATTCACCTATCCTTTGAAAAAGCAGGTCTCTAAGCAAAGGATGCTTTTGCTCCTATTCCCTTATTAATCCAAACAGTAATCTTTAATTGAGTGGTTTATTGTGGAAATGATCCTTCCTGAACAGCTTGCTTCTCTACTCATGCTGATTTGAATAATCAAGGTCTTATTTACTTCAAGTTAAATGAGGCTCTGTTTATGCCAAATCCATTCTTATTTAATGTCAATCACATTACTGGAGAAATACCAGGGAGGAAATGCCAGGAAGTTCCTATTGTTTTTATTATTTTTTAAAATGTGTTTTCAGTTGACTTGAAGGTTTCTCCATAATTTCTGTAGGTACCCATGTTGGCAAAATGATGCCAACTATCCTTCTATCTGAAGAACAATATTCAAAAGAATATATGCAGAAAGAGTCAGGCTGAGTAACCACCACTAATACAATTAATATCTTCACTTTTATTGGGACTACTCATTGTCCTACAGTGAGTGGACACTAAAAGAAAAAAAATAGAGGTTCTTCTCTATGCATTTAAGTGATTTCTAGGATATAACAGATGGTACTTCGTGATTTATTTTATGTGACCACTCTAATAACTTTAGAATCCTGGTGAAGTTGACAATAGGAATTATTTCTTAAGTTCTTTTACCTCAGAGGAGACTTAGTGAAGTTGGAGTCAACACAGGATGGTATCTTGCAGTATTAAATCTCACAAAAGAGTCCTTAAGCTGTTGAAATAATATAAATGTTCAAGTAGCAATCTATTTGTGAAGAATATCCTGAAAATATTTAATTATAGAAGAGATGGCTTCCAAAACTGTTCTGATAAAAATTACAACATCTCTGCACAACAGAATTGTTAATTCTGATGCAACTATCAGAGTAGTTGAACAAGTCAAAGGGATATGCTCTGACCCGGAGAAAACAAAATATTCATCAGCGTTCTTACTTGTCTACTTATGTGGGTGGGAAAATCACTTGTTTTCAGACTGAGTATTGTTTTGAAGAAAAATTGTTTTGTGTTCTAATAAGCACTGGAATGTTTTATGTCATCATCTGAGACAAAGTTTCAGATATCTGTGATTAATTTTCCCAGCTCCCAGTGTTATGGAATTTCTTTTTTCATATTTTGAATAAGGAAATATCGTAAATTATTTCAACTCTAATAAGACAATTCCTGATCTTTCATACTATAAAATATATGGGTTTAGGATACTGTCAAGAATTTTAAAAACCTGAAGAATTTCTCAGTGTATAAGCAGGGATTAGAAACTTTCAGGGATATACCATTACATCTTCACACACTGAAAAAAAAAAAAAATAATCCATCTCAGTCTTGTTTTGTTAGTAAACAAAAAACACCTGTAAATGAAAGTGAAGCTATCCAATTCAAAGTATCTTTTCAATTGCGTAACGTCCAAGAAGTTGTTAAAAATGTGGTATAAACTCTAGAAAATAAAATTGCCATGATTTTTGTCTAAATAATGAAACTTCTCTACATTTCAATGACCTCTATTGTTTGGATTGATAGGTTTTAACATTGCTTTTGAACTTTTACTCGTTCAGTAAAGTGCTCTTCAGACTGGTTAAATCTGTCTTCAGTTGCCTTTTTCAACTACCTTTTGAGTCTGAAAGAAGCATAGCTGACTTGATCTGTAGCCCAATCTGAAAAATGTGAGAAAAAACCCCTACAGATCTGTGAAGTTCTCGGTGCCGTTTGGAGGTAGCTGAACCTCCTCAGCTATAACCAATAGGAACTTACAGTGGTTCTCATAAAGAGATTAACTTCACTTTTAGACATAAATAAATAAAACAGTAAATAGTAGAATGCTAATATTATCAATAACTGGGAAAGGAATTTAACCACTGAGAATGCAACATGGTGCAATTGTGTTTGGTCTGAATAGGTTATTGTAAGCTTATTTATAGCTTACCTGCAAATATTGATGTTTAATATATCTTAAATTGTTTAACAAATACCCTGGATGAAAATGACCAGCTGAATGAGATGTTTTTGGATTCCTTGTCTTCTTTGACTTTTAACTTACAACTTTAATGCCTGCAAATTTTAAATTCTTTTAAAACCAATTATGAATTACATGCACAAAGGCAGGTGCTAACCTTGTGGAGGATGCATGTCTTCAATAATATTTCCCTACATTTCTGGAGTCTTCCCTCTTTCTGAAAAGCTCAGAGCAAATCTATGAAAGATACTCTTCTATGTCATGTTAAAGGGCTGTCTGTCAGTTTAAGCAAGATAGTGCATGTGTGTGCTGACTGAGCTGCATATTCTGTAATAACACACTGACAATTTGGATTGTGTGGAGTCTTGTCAGATTCTCTGTTGCTGACTGACAGCTGGCTCCATTGTAACTGAGCTGAGTGGTGCAAGAAGCTACCTTGCTTAGCCTCCTTGTTCCCAGGAAAGGGGCTATGATGCTTTTAGCACTGCAGTCATTTCAGTGTGGGTTAAAAAAAGGTTTGTCACGTTAACAGTGAAACTAACTTACCCTGCTTTCTGTCATGCGCTTGATTATTCTTTG